GGTAGCGGCAAATGTTATGGCAAAAACTTAAGCTGGTCAAGTAATGAGGGAGAGCATTTCACATGGTGCTCCTGGGGGGATAAGAATTTTCCCAGTTTAGAATCACAGGAAGCTGAGGAGGAGGTAGCAGAGATGTTAAAAGGTACCAGAGCCAAAAGGTGTCATCGGTTCTTTTGGCTATTTCCTGCTGGCTTGGGGGCATCGAGGAGTCACTGGACCTGGGGTCTTTAGGGCCCAGATCTGCGCTGGGCAAGGCAAGGCAGGGAAGGTGAAGTCTCTAGTTGCCTGTAGGAACAGGATGGCCTTGACTTGTTGCCAGGTGGTGTCCTGGGTGAGGGCTGTTATCCTGTTAAAAGAAACCGTTGAAAAGGTCAGGCAAAAGGCTGACAAGATGACAGGATGACAAGGCACAGGAGAACACATCCTGGCCGCAGGCCAGAAACGTTCCATTTGGAGCATAAGCCCATTACAGGGAAGGAGGAATAACTGGACTGGGGGCAAGAAGGGGGTATCTTCGGTTTTTATCAGGCTTATATTTACACCTGCTATAATAGTAATACCTTAAACTTCTCTTATACTTAATTAGGTTGTGGGCCAATTTGAAGAAATTGTAGTTTCATAAGTTGTTATTTCAAAATACTCAGCGTTTGAAGCTGTAACACATTTGTCCTAAATTGTATCTACCACATTCTTTAAGAATGTATTTATTCTTTTCAATTACTACTACTGATTTTGTTTGGAGATATAACTTAGTCACATGGAGTAAGGCTTAAAAATTACTGGGAGTCTAATTAACTAGGACCCTTATTTTCAAACTGAGGAGAAGTTATTATGTAATTTAACCTCTCAAGCTTTCAGTTTCTTAGTATATAAAATATGGACAGTATATCAGCATGCTGCCTCCTGTTTTCTTTATCAACACTTTACTTCTCTGAATTAATACAAAATTACAATAGTTAGTTTTAATATTTAAACTTTTCTTTTTCCTTTAATTTGATGCTAATTACAAAGGACTTGAGTTACATTTGCAAAATAAACTTAAGGGTATGTTCCCTAAATCTTAGTCTTGAAAAAACGATTACATTGTATGTTCTGGCATTGTGTAAAGTTTGATTATTCATGAGAAGTTGGTGAGGCAGAGAAGCTGAATTAGGAAAAATTGGAAAAAATAATGGAAGGCCTTGAATGACATTTGGGAGTTTAAAGTTTATTTTATTGCTAGCAGGAAGTAATTTCATAGTGGGAAGATTTACTGAACTCTGTAGTTTTGAAAGTTCATCTAGGGACTGGAATGCAATGAGAAGAAATTAAATAGACTTATCAGCTTGAATTCTTATGTGATGGCAATGGAAAAGAAAAATAGGAAGAGGTCAAGAGATAGTGGGAAAGAAAGCACAACAGGTCATGGTACCTGATAAAACATGATAGGTGAGTAAATAAAAAATGAGGAGCTGAGAAGACTGGAAGTAAGTCATTATCTGAAATACAGATGCTTGGAATATAAGCACTTTAGGGAAGACCATGGACATAGTTTGGGGTAGTTTGCATAGAAAGTGATAGAAATGTTCAATGTGAATGGTAGCTGTCAATGTCTTTTAAAGGGAAGCAAAAGCATGAAAATGGGAAAAAATGGTTTTGTTATGGTTTGTGTATGAAGTGGCCACAAAAGACTTGTGTCTTTAAGGCTTTGCCCCCAACAGGTAGATTCAATCATTGAGATGTGATTGGATTATGAGGGTTCTAACTTTATCCATGGATTAATGTGTTGATGTGTCCATAGCTCAATAGGCTATTAGGAGGTAGGGCCTACTTGGGGAAAGTGGGTCATAGGAAGTGTGCCCTTGCCCTAGAAATATATCTCTTGTCTGGCAACTTCTTATCTTTCTCCACTGCTTCCTGGCTGCCCTGCTATGAACTGCTCTTCTTCACTACCTGGTCCTTACCATAATATTTGGTCTCATTTCAGGTTCACTGCAATGAACCAATTTAGCATGGACTGAACCCTCTGTCACCATGAGCCAAAATAAATCCTCCTTTAGGTATTTTGTCACAATCATGAGAAACTAATATAGTAAATGAGGAATTATTGTATCTGCTTTATCAAAACAAACAAATAGATGCAAGTTTTCCCTAAATAATTTTGCTCCTGATATCAGTTTTGATTTGTTTTCATTCTTTAATTACTGGATTGTTTGTCTGAATTACCAGTGTATTTATAGATTCCTAAAAATCTTGAAGAAAGTAATAAGCCAGTGTGGTGGTGCTCACTTGTGATACTAGCACCTTGGAGCTGAAGTAAGAAGGCCATGAGTTCAAGGCTAGCCTCAGCTATACAGCAGGTATGAGGCCAGCCTGGTTTACACAGTAAGCTCTTGTCTCAAAAACAGAAAAAAAAGAAAGACAGAGAGAAATTGTTGGTAAAGAGCTATTGATGAAATAGTTAAGAGATTTTGACTCAGTATAGTATTTTTTTCAATTTAAAAATAAACATGAAACTTGGCGTGGTGGCTCAAGCCTGTATTCCTAACTACTTGGGAAGCTAAAAAGGGGGATCGTGGTTCAAGGCCAGCCTGTGCATAAAAGTTACACACAGTAATTTTGGAGGGGGGAAGAAAAGGCTTCTCAATATATGATTCAACCATAGAATTAGAACAACATGTTTTATTTACAGCTGAAGTCAGTTATTGTGTTGATCTTCAGAATCGCATAGAATTCAATCTCCATCAATTATTTGACCTCATCTCTTACTATTCTTGTTAGTTCTATTTAAGTTACCTTGCCTCCTGCACTTCAGTCTCGCTCTAGCTTAAGGACCTTTGAATTTATTATACCCTTATTCATTTCCGTGTCTCACTATTTTATGTTTTTCAAATCTTTGCTACAACCTTATCTTCTTTTAATAACTTGAAAGAATGAATCACATGAATGAACGTATTGTAAGGAAGAGTCAAGAGCACTAATTCTACAAGCTTGCCCTTCTAATAGAAGTCAGTGCACAACTTTCAACATTTATTAAGCACCTATTATATGTAACAAGGCACATATATGATTGGTTGCTGTTAGAAATGGGAAACATTGAAATACCCTTGTTGCTTTAGCAGGTGTTCTTGAACATTTTCAGCATAAACTGAGAAAGCAGTATTCACTAATGAATAGGAATAATCTGCCCGGTATCCTGGGTTTCCTCCTCATAGACAATCTGTCTTAACTAGTCCTAACTCTGTTTACCTTGATAAGTGAGTAAACCACTTCTTTTTTTGATCTCAATTCTTTTATTCCTGTGATAAGATGTCTAATCTCACTCAGTATCCAGTTCAAATTGGGATAACAGGACAATTTATACTTGGGTGTTTCCAGTTGGTACAATTTGCATGTAATAGTGAGCTTGAGAGAAGAAAAATTCTTAAATCTATGATTTCTGAATTGGGAGCTATTGGAATTAGATTTTGGCTTATAGTCAAGGTTTTAGTCTGTTCTATTTCTTTTTAAATTCTACTTTTTTTGGGGGGGGGGTCCGGTCATGGGGCCTGAACTATGGGCCTGGGCGCTGTCCCTCAGCTCTTCAGCTCAAGGCTAGTGCTCTACCACTTGAGCCACAGTGCCACTTCTGGCTTTTTTCTTTTTGCTTATGTGGTGTTGAGGAATCAAACCCAGGGCCTCATGCATGCAAGACACTCTACCACTGAGCAACCTTCCCAGCCCCTAAATCCAACTATTCTAAATCCTATTTTAGTTTTCACCTCCCAGTCCTTTAGTTCAACCTAGCTTAAAACCAAGGAGAAACAGTAAGACATTAAAATGTGTAGCTCAGCCCAGGAATGGGTTTGAGAGTGGATGATAAAGGATGGACTGAGAGAGCAGATGAGGATTAGAAAGATAAGATATAGCATTGTTCAATTTATAAATCTGGCTCAACTCTATCCAACAAATTTACTACTACAAATTTAGGACAGTGTGCTACATCACTACATTAATGTCAAGATAGGTATGATGTATGCCATCAAGGAGCTGGGAATCCTGAGCTGAGGGTCCTGATGTATGAGCTGAACCAAGACTCACACAATTAAAAAATCATCCAGGGACACAAAGGAAACACAAGGGTAAATAAAACTGTCATTAACTCAGATGTTTTAACATGCTAGGGTCAATCACACATATTAAAAAATCCTAGGTAAGATCAGAGAGGAAGAGTAACTGTTTTTAAACTCATTAAAGCTAGAAAGCTAATGTAGAACAGCTTTGTCTCCCTGATAAATTCTCAAGTTCAGGCTTCTTTCAGAACACCATAGCTCCAGGGGTGGCAGGAGCATGTGCACTGGAACAAAGAGTTCAGTAAAGCTATCTATCTGGTGGCAGCACGTAGGTAGGTCTTGAAGGTTGCAGCCGAGATGGGGGTTTAGGGAGGGGCTTTCAGGCTAGGGAAGTAAAGCCAGCCGCTCTTCCCGGGAGGAAAGCTAGGCTGAAAAGGACTCCTCCCTCCAAGCATCTTTTCCTTTAGTCTTTTCAGCGCTCACCATTTTCATTCTTAGGCGTCTGAGATTTCTGTAATTTGATTAAAAAAAAAATGCTTTAGGTGCCCTGAATCCCTGAGACGGTAGGTGAATGACAGGCAGGCCAGCAAGAGGAGGGGGGAAGAGAGAGAGAGAGAGAGAGAGAGGGAGGGAGAGAGGGAGAGAGGTAGAGGGAGAGAGAGAGAGAGAGAGAGAGAGAGAGAGAGAGAGAGAGAGAGAGAGAGAGTGTGTGTGTGTGTGTGTGTGTGTGTGTGTGTGTGTGTGTGTGTGTGTGTGTGTGTGTGTGTGTGTGTGTGTTGGCGGGGCAGGGGCGGATCCTGATCCTAGCTGGGGCGGGCCCGAGTCCCGGAGGAGGCGGGGCCAGGGCGGGGCTTAGTCCCCCGGGGGCGGGGCCTCCAGCGCACCTGCCAGGCGCGTCGAGGCCTGCCTGCGGCAGCGGCTGCGCGAAGTGACGTCCCCTCCCCCGCCCCGCCGTGTGTTTACGTGGAGACGAAGATGGCGGCGGTGACGGCGCGGCCCGTGCACACCGGGACGATTAGCCCGTGAGCGCGCACTGGTTCCACGGGAGGGGGAGGATCGCCGGCCGGGCCCTGCGCCCCGGGCCGCAAAGCCTGCCTCCTCCTCTAGCTGAACCGCTCTCTCCTTCCCACCCGACCCTCCCCGACTCTTTCCCCGCCCACTCCGCAGAAGCCATGGAGGACGAGGAGAGGCAGAAGAAGCTGGAGGCCGGCAAGGCGAAGGTAGGAGAGTCCCAGGCCAGCGGCCCGCGGCGGGAGGCGGTGGCCGGGACCGGTGGGAGGAGGCCCGGCGAGCGGGGTTCCGACGCCCCCCCCTCGGCCCCACGCGCGGCCCGGGCCGGGAGGGAGGTGGGGCCGCGGGGTCTGCCCCGCTTTTCCCGAGGGGAGCAGCCGGGCGCCCCTGCCTGGCCCGGGACACTGCCGAGACCGTGCGACTCCGCTCCCGTAAATGGCCGGAGAAAGCCCTTGTGGTGGCCGGGAGCCGCTCCTCAGGGGCCTGTCGGTCCTGTTTCCTGGGTGGCGGCGGCGGCGGCGGCTTTGTGCGGGGTTTCCAGGGCGGGATTTGGGCTGGTCTTCTCTCCGCGGGGGGGTGTGCGCCCGCGGCCGGCCCGGCCCCGCGGCTCGCCGGCTCTCCCGAGGGCGTGTGTGACGGGCCTGTGACAGCTGGCTCGCCAGCGGTCGGCGGCGGCCACAAGTGCCTGTGGAGAACTTGGCCTGTCAGGGCGTCCTCCGAAGCTGGTCTTTGTATGCCTGTCGGAGGGCTGTTTTTTGTCTGGTGGTTTCGTGGTGGGGTTTTTTTTTTGTTGTTGGTTTTTGTTTTGTCATGGCACACGATTTTGTAGCCTGTTCTGCTGGGTTGGAACTTGGGAGACAGAAAGGTTCCACGTAGCAGGCAATACTTGTAGAATCTGCTTTGGTGATTTATTTGTTGTATGTGTATCAGGTGAGCTCGGGGTGTGTGTGTGTATGTGTGTGTGTGTGTGCGCGCGTGTGTGTATCTGTGTGTGTAAAATGCTGTAAAGCAAACAATAAGGAATTAGACACTACCGTTCTTCAGTGGGTGTCATTAAAAAACGTGACCTAGACAGAAATATAAACTGAATAGCCTATTTCTTTTAAACATAATTACTTGTTTGAGCCTGTCCTCTGGTCAGCCCCGAAGGCCCCAACAATGAAATTACCTCTTATAGATCATGTTGTCTTTTTAAAAACTAACTGTTAGCAATCATCCTTGGACCACAGTTTTTAATTATATTAACTATTTTACCTCTCTGTCTTTCCCACTCTCCACACAGAAACAAAGGAAACCAGCCCAGTGGTTTCAGTAATAAATATGGGCCATACTGCAGATATGTAGTAGTAGATGTATCCAATGCAAGTTTGTTAAAAGAATATGTACATTAACTTCCTATTTCTAAAATAGAATTGGCTTTTCCATGTAGCCAGGTGGATTTTTTTTTTTTAAACAGCCATAAACAGGAAAGTGAATCAGGGCATTTTCTGAAGCCCTGTTGCTTAAATTTGTGCAAACCTGTGCATGCACAGAATTCCAAGCATAGTGTGTACCCCATCAAGTAAGTGCACTGAAGTTCTCATGAGATGCCTCATTTGTTATCTCAGAATACTTACTACTCACCCCTAAGTGTGTCCTTCCTAAATGTATATCCTATTACACAAGCTACTACATAGGGTTCAATTTAGACAGACACATTTCATGATTGAATTGCTTGCCATGAGTACCTGATTTGGAAAAAATAGAATTTTAGTTTCCTTATATGTGTATTACTTAGTCTTTCAGAATTGTCCCTAGTGGGCTGGGCTGAGGTGGCTTATGCCTATAATCCTAGTTACTTGGAAGGGTGACGTACAGGACTTGAAATAGGAATTCCATTAGTGTCATACTTCTCAAATCCAGGAGACTTACCTCCAATTAACCAACCAAAAGCTGAAACTGGAAGCTTGGCCCATGTGGAAGAGTGTCATCTATGAACCAAAAAAAGAAGCTGAGCAAGGCACTGGGTTCAAGTCTCAATACCAGCACACACACACACACACACACACACACACACACACAAATTCTATTTACTGGGATAAAGATACACACACATACTAGAGTTAGCTTTTATTATAGAGTATTACTTTCTTCTATAATTGAGATTTTTTTTCCAGTGAAAAATAAGTTTGTACAACTTGTAAGGCAAGGTATATTTGCTCCAGTATTAACTATACAATATAATAACACTCAATAGCTTTTAAAGACAACTTGAGAATAATCATAAGTTGTGTAAGTACTATGGAAAATTATAAAGTCATAAGTTTATGAAAATTGATAAGAATATGGGAAATAGAGTGAAAACAGTATAGTTAAAAATAATAGCCGGCCAGGGGCTGGTGGCTCACGCCTGTAATCCTAGCTACTCAGGAGGCTGAGATCTGAGGATCACTGTTCAAAGCCAGCCTGGGCAGGAAGTCCGTGAGACTCTCATCTCCAATAAACCACTAGAAAACCGGAAGTGGTGCTGTGGCTCAAGCGGTAGAGCACTCACCTTGAGCTGAAGAGAGCAGGGACAGCGCCCAAACCCAGAATTCAAGCCCCATCACACACACACAAAAAAGTATATATATATATATATATATATATATATATATGTATGTATATATTAGGAGCCCACTATGGTGGGACAGGCCCATAATCCCAGCACTCAGGAGGCTGCATCATTGGAATGGCGAGTCCAGCTTGGACTACATTCCAAGATCAAGCCTGTGTACAAAAAGAAAAAGTGGCCAATGTGCCTCTGATTATGTAAAATAATATTTATCAAAATGAACTCCAGGAAATGGAAACAAGAGAGCTTTTTTCATTTTGTATTCTTTTTGTTGTTTATCAGTCTTTGGGAAGCAAATGAGAGCACATAACTGGAGGGACCGAGGGTGAACAAATGCAGCAGTAGTACTGAGACACTATGTTGAAAATAAACTGTTCAACTTGTGGATGGGAATGCGAGGGAAAAGCTGGGAGAGAGCAGAGGAAACGGTGACATTGTCCAAAAAGAAATATAACATTTTCTGATTTATGGAACTGTACCCCTCTGTTTATCACCTTTATAATAACAATAAAAATAAAAGTAGTGATACATTATTTTCTTTGTATAAACATACATACATTTCAATTGGGACTGAAAAACTGTAATGTAAGTTTTATTCTGAGGCTGAGCGTGTAGCTCTGTGCTATAGGGTGCAAAGCCCTGGGTTCTGTCCTCAACACCAAAATATTTAAAAAAGTAGTTCAGCAAACCTGTATTGTGTTCCTATTTTATCAAGACCTGGAAATGGAGAGAAGCTGCCCTATGTTTCTTCTTTCTAGTTACTCAGTTATAGTGGGAAAGACAGGCATTGGACAATCAGTATAGGAAGAGTAAAGCGTAGTGGGATTTGGGGTTATTGTTTTCACTTATTGTTAAAATAGTTTTAATGCTTCCACCTTGTTTTCTAGAACACTGTGCAAAGAAGGCTTTAGTGTTAAGATCAATGCAGTCTAGCATCATGTCTTTCAGGTAATAGTTAGTAAATCTTTGCTTATTGAATGAATGAGCAGATTGACTTGAGTCCGTCACGGGTACTGGTTTTACTGGAATGGTTATAATTGAATAACAGTATAATTTTAAAATAGAATTCAGAATGTTAATTAGGAATTTCATATTGATATCAGAAGCAGTTTCCAAAATTATTTAGACTTGGTTCTCTAAATCTTATTTGCTCATTAAACTTTATTGTATTTGATAACAACAACTGTTTACTTCTGTTCTTGGTAATTGATAAACTGTTCCAATGAAAATTTTATTTTACCTAGACCTCATAAATGATCATTTTAAAAAATAGCTTGTGTATACAGTATAGCTTATGTTATTAAATACTTTATACCAACCAAAAATCTGTGATAATAGAACAAATAATAATATTTAGCTGTTGAAATCATTCTGCAAAAACTTTTTTTTTTTTTTGGTTGGTTGTGGGGCTTGAACTCTGGGCCTGGGCGCTGTCCCTGCGCTCTTCAGCTCAAGGAGAGTGCTCTACCGCTTGAGCCACAGCGCCACTTCTGGTTTTCTAGTGGTTTATTGGAGATAAGAGTCTCACGGACTTTTCTGCCCCGGCTGGCTTTGAACCACAATCCTTAGATCTCAGCCTCCTGAGTAGCTAGGATTACAGGCGTGAACCATCGGCACCTGGCTTGCAAAAACTTTTTGAGTTGGAAAATGTCAGGTTAAAAAAACACAAAGCTCAGCACTGGTGTCTCATGCCTGTAATCCTAACTACTCAGGAGGCTGAAATCTGAGAATCAAAGTCAGACCAGGCAGGAAAGCCTATGACACTCTTATCTTAATTTACCACCCAAAAGCTGGATATGAAACTGTGGCTCAAGTGTTAGCCTTGCACAGAAAAGCTCAGGGACTGTGCCTATATTGTGAGCTCAAGCCCCAAGATGTGAAAAATAAATAAAAATGAAATGAAAAGGTTCTGCACACATTTTAACATGTGAAGACACCTAAAAAATGTATGTTTCTGGTACATTTATAAATGGTAGTTATCTTTGGGAAGTAGGTTATAGATCTTTTATGATCAGGCCAATTATTCAGATGTTATATTTCAAAATAATAGAATTATTAAGAATCTGTGTTTTATTTTTATTGTTTATTTTTTAATGTTTTGGTTGGGGTCAGTTTGGGGCTTGAACTCTGGGCTTCTCTGTATTTTTTTTTTTAATGACAATAATAGAAAAGAACAGGAGGAACAAAATAACCAGATATCCTATTTCATTGATGTCCTGAAGCTATAATTCTTCCTCCATGATTGCTTGCTTGATACACTTGAGAGTAAATTATTAGACATTTACAGATCTCCTTTTAGTTTTGTCATTCTTATTCTTTCCTTGCTGTCAGTTCTTATGTAACCCCGTTCCTTTTCACTTTGCCTTTTCCTCTCTCTGTCAATTTATCTATTTTTTGTTGTTTCTTTTTGGTGGCACTGGGATTTGAACTTATTCTTTCGAGGCAGACAATCCACTTGAGCCACACCTCCAGCCCACTGTTTGGTTTAGTTATTTTTCAAATAAGGTCTTGAGCTTTTTGCCAGGTGCTGGCTTTAGGCTGCGATCATTCTGATCTCTAGCTCCTGAGTGGCTGGTATTACAACTGTTTTCCACTAGACTCTGCTTGTTTGTTGAA